CTCCTGAGTAGCTAGGACTATAGGTGGGCACCACCACACTCGGCTAGTCTTTTCATTTTTTTGTCTTGTTTTGTTTTGGTTTTGTTTTTGTAGAGACTTAGTTTTGCCGTGTTACCCAAGCAGGTCTCAAACTCCTGGGCTCAAGTGATCTGCTTGCCTCGGCCTTCCAAAGTGCTGGGATGATAGGTGTGCACCACTGTGCCCGGCCCAAGCCATTTTTCAGTCCATTCTTTTTGCTCCTCCGAGTAACCCTTCATAGCAACCAGCTTTGCATTGTTCAGTCACCAGAAGTTAATGCTATAAAACCAGAGATTTCCAGCCGTACAGGATGTAGAGAGAAACCAAAACTCTGTACATTTGCTATTGACGCGATGTTGTCACAGCCACTGCAGCACTCAGCATCACCAAAAGCCTGCACAGAGCTGTGATATTCTTTAGATAGAGTTTTGTTGTTGTTTTCTTTCTTCTCCTTAAATAATATTTAATTTGTCATTAGGTCATACTGTGATTTCATAGCTTATTTCATCTCCGATATTTTCTTCTGTATGTTATCTTTTGAGAGAACTCTCCAGAGTTCAAGCACAAATCCTAGGACAGACTTGCATTTTGACTGTCACATTTTCATTGCAGTATGTGCAAAAGTACAGAAATGCCACCAAATTAAGCAAAGAAGGTAAGACTTTTTGAATGAAAAAGTTCTGGCAATAATAAAACAAAGCCTATTAAGAGTGTGAAGTGAGAGGTGGAGTTATGCCAGGGCAGCTGCCTTAATTATCTCTTGCTGTGTTACAGACGAACACACGTTTACCAGCTTGAAATGACACATTCTCTCACCGTTGCTGCAGGTCAGGGGTCCAGGCACAGCACAGCTGGGGCCAGTGCCAGCGTCCCACAAGGCTTGGTCCAGGTGTCGGCCAGGCTGCACTCTGCTTTAAACTCAGGGATTTTCTTCCAAGCACAGGTTGTTGGTAGAATTCAGTTCCTGGGGCTGGAGGACTGAGACCCTCAGCTCCCTACAAGGCTTCCTGCCATTGCCTGGACAGATCATGCAGTGCGTGCGGTGTTAATAATCATGGGAGAGAAATGTGGTCAACCTTGCCATATAATGTAGCCTAACCTAGGGAGTGGCGCCCCATCTCCCTGACGTATTCTGGAAGCAGGTGACAGATCTTGCCCATACTCAAGTGTCGGGAGTATACCAGGGCAGGACTTTGTGGGGTGAGGTATGTCCCTGGCAAAAACCATTACTTTTAATCTTCCCATTAAATGTAAAATATCATCCAACTTGAACATATACTTTGTACTTTTTTCCCCTAAACAAACAAAAACTAATCCTCATTCAACAATAAAAGTTTTGCTGCCTGTAAAGATACTTGAAAATGTATGATATAGACATGGAAGACAGTTCCCATGCAGCCTAAAGATGTTTAGTGCTGGCCGGGCGTGGCGGCTCACACCTGTAATCCCAGCACTTTGGAAGTCTGAGGCAGGTGGATTGCTTGAGCTCAAAAGCTCGATACCAGCCTGGGTAAGAGCAAAACCTTGTCCCTACAAAAAGTACCAAAAAATTAGCTGGGTGTGGTGGTGCCCACCTTTGGTCACAGCCACTTGGGAGGCTGAGGTGAGAGGATTGCTTGAGCCTGGGAGGTGGAGGCTGCAGTGATCCCAGGTTGTGCCACTACTCTCCAGCCTGGGCAACACAGCAAGACCCTGTCTCAAAAAAAAAAAAAATGTTTAAAGATGTTTAGTGTTGGTGACATCATTGACATTAGTTGCAGCCTTTCTGGGGGTGCCCAGCTCTATGGAATGAGCAGCTTACTGGTTTATGAATTCCGGTTTGTTCATGGACAACAGAAGTTCTTTCCTTGCTTGTTTTTTTGAGCTAGTTTGCTCTCGTGTCTAACCGGGTGGTTTCTAAGAAAACCGGACTCTGTCTTGGCTGTCTCACACAGAAGCCCCTGCACGTTTTACTGCCCGTCCTCCCTCCCCAGATTTCTGCCTGCCTTCTGGGCACCAGAAGTCTTAGACGGATGCAGCGGGTTCTGTGGTGAAACACAAATGACAGAGGTGCTCCCTGCCTTCCATGTTCTGGCTTTCCACCAGGAGCCCCAGCCGCCTTGCAGAAACATCGAGGTGACTTGTAGCATGACCGAGCTCACTGGCGCGTCTTCGCGGTGCTGCCCCCGCCCTGCAAGAAGAGGGGCCATGCAGTCACCCGTGGACCACGTTCAACGTTTGCGAGGGAGAGGTACCACCGTTCCTCATGTGGCCAGGACCGTGTGGTCACTCTTCGGGGGTGTTGACATGGCTGCAGGTGTACTCAGTCACCTCTCCATGTATACGGAAAAGTGCTCAGTGTTGTATCCAGCCGCATCTGCCTGAGTGCGCTTTGGGATTCCATTTCTGCCAGCTATGGGGCGCGCTGCCGATCTGCATGCACACAGCTTTACTGAACGCGAAGTCAGTTGTTGGTTGTTGTTGGTTGTTGTGCTCTGCTGCCTCCTGCTTCTGGCTCCAGTCATGTGGTTTCTGCTTATCTCTTCCCTGGCCTTAGGAAATAGACCAGCTCTTCTTTTTTTCAAAAACATTTCACCTGGGCATATTTTTTTTATCTATAATTATGAACTTTTATGTAATCACATAATTAGAAAATATAACGCAAATCAGATGTTAATTGCCTTCACGTGTATAATTAGTATAGATACTATTTTCTTTATTCATTTCCAAAAAAGAAAAATAGAAGCGGTGTTTCAAAACTCTCTTCTCTTTTTGAACAGAGGGTGGCTCCCACTCCGCCAGCACCTCATCGCAGCGAGGTGAGGCTAAGATGAGCATAACCAGTGACGAGGTGAACTTCCTGGTGTATCGGTATCTCCAGGAGTCAGGTAAGAGGCTTGGTTTTCTGTTGGTAGGAAATTCACCTTCAGCATCTTATGAACAGAATGATCAATGCTTGATTCAAGAGCAGGCTGTAGAAGAAGAAGTAGAGCTAAGAAGGTTCTTAGTGTTGATGGGGTAAAGAGAAGGTTCTGAAGCCCTGCCATTCCTGGGTGGAAAGAGGGAATGTGTTCTTTCTTCCTTTGACACTTCTGTGCAGATGAATCAGGCGGAAATCAAGAGCAGTTGTGGTGAACGTGGAAAGGACGGAAGCAGTGCGTGGCTCCTGGCCTCCGCATTGGCGAGGGCATGCATGAGCTGGGGTGTGTGTTTGAACCTCTTTGATTTTGCTCCAGAAATTTAGTCAGCTCCCCAGCTTCTCCTGCTCCACGCCTTCCAAATGGGCCGCTAGGCAATTTTCGACAACTTAGGAATCATCCTACCATCTTCCAGCATTATTGATTACCGTTAAGACAGTACTTTCTGGTTAATAAGTAAACAGCCAATCCCGTGTGTTCCTTGTTGACAAAACAGACCTTGAGCTGAGCAGCTGCCCTCCTCTGCTGGCAGGGAAGTGGCGGGAGGAAGCCATGGAGCCCAGGGCCTGGGTTCTGGCCTGGCTTTGGCCTGGGCTTGCGGGATCCCTCCAACAAGTAATTTGGTTTCCAGCGTGAAAACTTTTTTTTTAATTTTAAAACTTAGAAGATACGTAATTTAAGACCTACAAAATGACATTGGTGAAAAAATGTTCTGATAGCCACCTACCCATTTAACTTAAGAAATAAACCTCTCTGATGCAATGGAAACCCCGCCCAGGTTTGCCTCCCCGCCTTCCTTGATAATAATGACCCTGGTGGACTTACTGTGTGTTATCTGCACGTGGCCATTTTCCTAAGCAATACACAATGTGGGTGGATTCGTTTCCTAGGGCTGCTATACCTGACGTACCACAAACTGGGGTGGCTTAAAAGGAAATATGTTGTCTCCTGGTTCCTGGGGACAGAAGTCCAAGGTGAAGGTGTGGACGGGTTGGTTCCTTCTGAGGAGGAGTCTCTCCTGGGCCCCTGCCTTGGCTCCTGGGGCTTTGCTGGCAATCTTTGGAATCCTTGACTTCTAGGTGCGTCACCCTCATCTCTGGGTTCACATTTCTTCATATTTCCCCTGGGGTAAAGACAGTCAGATAGGATTCGGAATTTACCCGCCTCCAGGACAGCCTGATTTTAGCTATTGTTTTTGAATGCAGCGATAATCACATCTGGAATGACCCTGTTTCCAAATAGCGGTATATAAGGTACATTGTTGCACCTCAGGATGGCCCAATGGAGGGGGCACACTTCAACCCATAACAGTTGGTTTTGGGGTCTTTATAAGCTTCATGCCCTTGACATCAGATTGTATATATTCTGGAACTTGATTATTTGAAAAGGAAACCCCAGTTCCTAGGCCCCCTCCTCCCAGAGATGCATGTATTCGATTTGAGGGAAAACCAGTCTATGATCCTCTGGGTGTGGGTTCTCTCACAGCTGGCCTGGTCGGGTAGCATGCAGGCATTGGAGCCACACAGAATGGCTCAAGCTCTGATCCTTGAATGAGTCTGAGTGAGGCCTGTTCATTTGAGCCGCGGTTTCCTTGCCTTGGAAAATGTGATCAAGTACCTCAGGCACATAGCACATTGTAAATAAGTGCCTTCTCTGTCCAAGCCTGGGTCTCTGTCCCTTGCACTCCCAGCTAGTGTTATTCATGGGAAGTACACATTCTTTCTGCATGTTTATCAGACGCCTTCGATTGGTTGTTGCCAGAACATAGTATAAGATAATTGGCATACAAAACAAAACATGTACTGCCTCGCCCCTGGAAATCAGGGGAATGCTAACCACTGTGCTAATACCTCAGCCTTGGCTCTTTGAGGAGCCCAGGTGGCTTCCTGTCTCAGAGCTCAGAGCTTCCAAGAGGTGCCTGCAAATGGAAATCACATGTACCAAACCCTGCTTCCCTGTCGATTTGTGGCATGGAATTTGAGATTCTTCCATTTAGCAACACCTCTGCACAAGGACATGATGAAGGCCAAAGAGACTCACAGCTCTTGTGTAAACAAGTCCCAAACTGGAGCTGTCAGGTGTGAAGGACCACGTGCTCCGTAACCTGGAGACAGAGCCGTGCTGTTGGCTGGTCCCCAGGCCCACGGAGCGTGAGCTTTGCTGGCTTCTTGAAATAAACACAGAAACCCCCATCCCTCCCCAGAAAGGTCGGCTTCCTTATTCAGTGTTTGTTTATGAAGCTTCTGTAACCAGGCAGCTGAGAAGGAGAGTCGGAGCACAACAATGCAGAGACCTCGGCAAATGTCAACTTTATGTAACATCTGTGAGCTCCATTCCGGATTCATCAGTGTCACTGAAGTATAATAACACTTCTTAGGCAGAGTTGGTGTTGAAGACAGAGACTATTGCACTTTCTTCAAATCGCTGTGTGCATTGTGGAACTTTTTGGAGCACCCTACCACACTACAAGGTTGTATTCAAAGGAAGAAAGGAGCAAAGAAATGCTTAATGTTGAAACGTTCATTTTGGGGTATTTTCTGTTTGGCTCAAGTCCCAAAGTTTTGGTTAGGTCAATATTCATTGATCCTGCATCAAGAAACAGCACCTTCTCAGTCTATGGCTGTCTCCCTTCTACCTTAAATGAAAAGGAAAACATTTTCATGATCATGCTTCCTCCTCAAGCACCTGCACTCTCATTCCTGCACCCTACCAAACTTATTAAAAACAGGCTCTGCATCTCAGAAGATGATTCATTCCTCAACTCCCTCCAGTCTGGCTTTCTCCACTAGAAGATGTCAGTAAATTCTGGGTTCCTGGATCCAGTGATCTTACTGCAACTGGCATTCCTCCTTACCTGTGTGTGACAAGAAGCAGGTGTTGGAGGGAGGTGAGGAAAGGAGTAGGTGTTTCCCTGCAGTGCAGCTGGCTCCCTGGAAGGTATACTTAGAATGCTAAACCCCACCTTCCTGGTGCAGTGACGGACAAGTTTTCCAGAGTCACCAAGCTTGTGGCCTGAGCCCTGCTTCTCTGCCCTGGATCCAGCAGACGAGATGCTGTTCCTGTCCATCTGTTCATCTCCTTCACCAGTGTCTCTCTTCCTCCCCTCTGCCAGTATCCACAGTGTCAGCTATGATTCCTTAGGCTGCAAGAAAGGGAATCCTCAGTGGAGCACTGATGGCCTCAGATAGCAGGGAAGCAGGGTGTTGAAGAAGGATTCAATACACACGTCTTCAAACTGGGGAAAGAACCTCAAAAACAGACGTGTTTTGTTCTTCCGCCCACAACAGGCAGAAGTCAGATCATCTGGTTTTTAGCAATCTACATATATTTCCCTACCTATATGGATTAGTGGATTTCCATTGTTGCCCTTGTTAATTGTCCAAAGAGAGGGCTTTGCCCATCAGAAACACTCAATAGATGTTACCCACAGGTGACATCTCACAACAGCAGACTCATGGCAGTCTGAAAGAGAAAACTGGTTAGAAGCAAGAATATTAAGTAGTAGGGAACTTTGGCATTACCAAGCTTTAGTGCCAAAATGGATTTGTTGGCTTTTGCATGAGTTTGGCAGTCTGGCTTTGACAGGGTGATATGGTTTGGCTGTGTCCCCACCCAAATTTCATCTTGAATTGTAGTTCCCATAATTCTCACATATCATGGGGAGGGACCCAGTGGGAAGTACATGAATCATGGGAGCAGATTTTCCCATGCTATTCTTGTGATAATGAATAAGTCTCACAAGATCTGATGATTTTAGAAAGGGGAGTTCCCCTGCACACCCTTTCTTGCCTGCCACCATGTAAGACGTGACATTGTTCCTCATTTACCTTCTGCCATGATTGTGAGGCCTCCCCAGCCATGTGGAACTATGAGTCCATTAAGCCTCTTTTTTTTCTTTATAAATTACCCAGTCTTGGGTATGTCTGTATTAGCAGCATGAGAATGGACTAATACAACACGCGAGTCCACTGGCCTCTGTCTTACAAGATCCATTGCCTGGTCACTTGTGCTACCTGGGCAATTTTTAAGAAGCACATGATGGCCGTGTGCCTTTCCCATGAGCTCATGTTACCATTCCAGGAGGAGAGAAGCAAGGGAGTGAGCCCCTATAAATGTGCACAGCCAACACCTGCTGTGGTGAGCAGGTCCCCCAAATGCTGGGGGAATCGTGAGTTGTTTGCCCCCGCATATTTCTGAATACAGCAAGGGAAGTGGAAGTCCATTTTCCATTTAGTGTGGAAAGAGAGAAAATTTGGCAAGTGAGTCCCTATAAACATATTATTTCCTCTGGGACTTCATCCCAAATTCAAACTAAAGAAAACATGTTCTCCCAGACCCACATTTTTAGCATAAATTAAATAATTCACAGAAACTTGCAAAATGGTATGAGGAATACAGGGCAACAGAACCACAAATTCAAACTGAATTTAACTGAGAAAGAACTGTGCCTGCAATATAATCAGGTGATAGATGTGGGGGGAAGGGAGGTACTATGAAAACTTTTTTTTTTTTTAAATTTTTTGAGACTCACTTATGCTGAGGGTCTCACTCTGTTGCCCAAGCTGGAGTGCGGTGGCACAATCACTGCACTCACTGCAGCCTCTACCTCCCAGGCTCAAGTGATCCTCCCACCTCAGCCACCCGAGCAACTGGGACTACAGGCTTGCGCCACTAGAAATTATGCCCAGGTAATTTCTTATTTTCTGTTTTGTTTTATTTGTAGAAACAGGGTTTCATTGTGTTGCCCAACTTGGTCTCAAACTCCTGGGTCCAAGAGATCTTCCCACCTTGGCCTCGTAAAATGCTAGGATTATAGGCATGAGCCGCCACACCACCCAACCAAAAATATTTTTTAAAGGAGAAGATACTGGCTGAAGAGGAAAGAAGGAAGGAATGTGGGGAGCCATCTTGAGCATAATCAACACACAGGACAGTTTTGTCACCCTCAAAATTGCCTTGTGTCCCTTTGT